TCTCTGTTCTCTAAAATAGTATTTCCCTGTTATGCTTGTAAAAAGCATTCTGTTTTTCAAGCCTGTATTTATGATTAGTATCTAGAATACAGGATCTTTGAAGAACTTCCTCAATCTTAGGTCTGTACTTTTCAAAGAATAACTTTCAAAATGTTCACTTAATAAGCAAATAAAGAATATGTTAAAAATGTGTTTAGCTCATAAACAAAAACTTTGTATACTCAGGATGTTGTAAAGCTGGCTCAGAGTGTTTGATTAATTATGATCACAGAAAATAGAAGGTTGCACTGAGGTTGCTAGGTTAAATATCTAGTCATTAGGTAAAATTATTTCTAGGTCATTAAAAAGGTAATTTTTGGGGTCATTTGCATTTGTACTGAAAAAAAGTCTTCAGGTTATCAAGTAACATAAGTGTCTGGACCCTAATGTGTGCTAAATAATCAAGAAAGACAAAAGCACACTTAAATATTCCTTGGGTAAGCTTTAATGTTCCACCATTGCATTAAAAAGAGACGGAATGGTTTTTGACCTTATTTCCAGGAGTTGATTAAGTTTTCCTAACCTGTACATGCTACAAATTCTAGCTCCTTCATGACATAAAGATACAAGGAAGTTTCAAAATGACATTAGCACCATACAAGTGATAGCTCCCAAGCTTAAGTATGTACTTTGAGTGTTGGCAAATACAGTTACTCATGTAATCACAGTCAGGGTATCACCTGTTACTTGAAAAAGATTTCTTTGCATTTTTCTCAGATGTTCTTTGCCTTATACCTTCCACTCCTACCTAAGGCAACTATCCATCCTACTTGCTGTCACTATCAATTTTGTTTTTGCTTTGTTTTCTTTTGAAAAGACACTGAATATTTTTATTGTAGTTAAAAACGTCAAATTTACCACCTTAACTTTTATTTATTTATTTTTTTTTTTGGCAGTACTGGGGTTTGAACTCAGGGCCTCACGATTTCTAGGCAGGCGCTCTACCACTTGAGCCACTCTGCCAGCCCAGATTGTAACCATTTTTAAGTGTACAGGCCTCTTTAGTGTTAAGTATATTTACATTGTATGGGACAAATCTCCAGAACTTTTGACTTACGTATTTGTTATCCAACAGTGGAAATAATTAAACATTTTTTAGTGCCTCTGTGCAACCAACAATTTTTTTCAGATCCCTGAATTTTCAGAATACTCTGAATATCACCATGATGCATAAACTACCCCAAAATATAAAGCACCAGTACTCTGACTTTTTTAGGTTATTTCTGTTTTATTTTCTGTTCAAGATCTTTCCACCAGCCATTATCTTCTTTGGGTCACTCTCTACTTGATCATGCCGTACTGTTTTCTTCCATCTTAAATGATTTTCTTGAGAATACTTTCTTTTGTGACATTTATATAAGTGCTTACAATCTATCTTAGGGTCATCCCTACTGTTTTTCTCTTTTATCCCCCTTCTCCCTCTTCTTAGAAAAATTTCAACAGGTTTTACTGTTCTGTTTTCATACATGAACACAAACTGTTTCTACTGTATTTGCCTTCCTTCACCCTTTCCTTATGCCCTCCAACTGGTGCCCACCCCTAGACAGGAACTGTTTTACCTTCCTGACCTTCATTTGTTAAAAAAGAACATTTTTGTTAGTTTATGATAGTTATCCAGGGGGGTTCATTGTGACATTTCCATATATATATATATGTATGTATTATACCCTGAATTGGTTCATCCTCTTCATTATTCTCCCTTCTGTCCCATTCCCCTTCTTATGGTGACTTCAATAAGTTTCAGTATTCCATCTTCCTACTTATATAGAAAGTACATCAACCATATTTGCCCTCCTTACTTCATTTGCTCTTCCCTCCTGCTAGTGCTCTCCCCTTTACGTGACCTGTTTTATGTTCCTGTCCTTCATTGTTTAGGTGTCTATTCATTGTTCAGTGGGAATTTTGCCTTGGTATTTTACCTATAAATATATTGTGCAGAAACTTGAGTTCCATATAAATATAATCATTTGTTTGTTTTTGCAGACAGGGTCTTGCCATGTATCTCAGGCTGGCTTGAACTCATGACCCTCCTGCCTTAGACTCCCAAGTGCTGCGATTGCAGATATACTACCATACCTACAATGCGAACTTATTTGTGTCTGCCTTCTTTCTTTCAGCATGTTTTGAAGATCTGTCCATGTTGGCATGTGTATTAGTTCATTCTGCTGTATTCTTGAGAAGTTTTGTATTGTACTGATCTCCATTCACTCATTCATCTGTGGATATTGTGATTGTACTGAGTATTTTTGTACCTAGTATGTTTCTCTGTTCACTTAAGGTCTCATTGCCATTAGCAGTGTTTTGTAATTTTCAGTGTGAAGTACTTAGTCACTTTGAAAAATCTTTGCTAAAGAATTCATAGGTTTTGGTACTGTTGTGAATGGAGTTAAATTTTTTTTGATCTTTTACTATTATTACATAGAAACACAGCTAGTTTCTATATGTTGGCATTGGCATCTTGTAACCTTACTAGTCCAGTTTTGTTGTTAGTTTTAATAGGAATTCCCTATGTAAAGAGTTCTACAAATTCAAATGTCTCTGAATAAAGGCAATAATTTCTTTGTTCTCTTTTGCCTTTCTGTACAGACCACAGCCCAATACAGTGCTATTTAGAAATAGAGTAGACATCTTTTCCTTGATCCCAGTACTGCTTTAATTAGAAAGGAAGTGTTCTATGTTCCACCAGTAAGTATGGGATTAGCTCCATGTTACTCTGTGTACCTTTTGTGAAATTGTTTATTGTTGCTTTTGTTAATAATGGATTTTGAATCTTGTCAGATGTTAATTCTACATCTATTGAGATGATCGTATAATTTGTCTCTATTCTAAATATGGTGCATTTTGTTGATATTTCTCATGTTAAACTAATATTGTATTCCTGTGGAAAATTCCACATGGTTACCTCCTCCTGTGTTGCTGGATTGTATTTGCTTATATTTTGTTAGTGATTTTCGAGTCTTTGTGTACAGAGATATGTCTTGCAACATCTTTGTCAGGCTTTTGCGAGTACTTGTGCTGGCCTTGCCAAATGAGTTGGGAAGCATACCGTCTTTCCCTGATTTTTTTTAAAGAAATTTGTTATTTCTTCCTTGCTTGTTTGAAAAAGTTCACCAGTGAGTGCTTCTAAGTTAGTTTTTAATAATAAATTCATTAAATAACATAGTCCTAAGTTATTCATATTTCTATATTATTTTTTCACTTTTCTCTTATTTTCTACACATTTTAAACAGTTGTCAATTTCATCAATTCCTTTCAGACCATTTTCATTTTGACTTTAGTAATTTGAATCTTTTTCTTTTGGTCAGTGTAACTTAAGGTATATCAGTGTTGTTCTTTCCCAGGAATCACTCTGGTTTTTACTTTTCTCTACATTTTTTCTATTACTGTTTCACTCTCCTTTTATTACTTCCTCCCTGTTGCTTGCTTGCTTTCTAACATGTTAAGCTGTAAAGTTAGGTTATTGATTTGAGATGTCTATTTGAATATATGCATTTAACACTTTCCTTCTGAGTACTACTTTCATTGTATCTCATAGATTTTGATGTAATTTTATTTTCATTTAGTTTAAGCTGTTTTTTTGGTTTTTTTTTTTTTTTTTACTGTTGCTTGAAAAATTCTTTGATCCATGCGTTATTTAGAAAGTGTTGTTTAATCTCCAGACATCTGAGGATTTTCTAGGTATCTTCTGTTACTGATTTCTAGTTCCATTATTTTGTCATCTGAAAACATGATTTGCATGATTTAATTCTTTTAAAATACCATGTATTTTATGCCCTAGAATATGGTATGTTTTAGTATTACATGGGAATTTGAGCAAACAGTTTATCTTGCTGTTGTTGGGTAGAGTATTCATTCTCTTGGTTAAATACCTGGGACTATTATGTAATGTGCATCTTATCAGGCAAATAAATATATTTATAGCTAAAACAACTAGTTTTGGTGAAAAATGATGCATCACATGTTCTGATGTACTCATGTTCAAATTAATATGTGTATGTCTCCAAATTAGTCATTACTGGCAGGCAGAGAATGTGACACACTGAAATACGATGCTTCCTCTGTACACTTCTTCCAGCAGTAGTTACTGTTAGCCTCATTGAAGGACCCATTGTCAACTCTGTGCCACTGATAACCTTCTTCTACTTTTCTTCTCCTTCTCCGACACTGTAAAAGATGGTGCCTAATTCCAAGGAAATGTAAAAATGCTTCCTTCCTTCACAGAAGTTACTAAAAACAGGTTTTGTGCTGGCGAAGTGGCTCAAATGGTAGAATGCTTGCCTAACAAGCTTGAGGCCCTGAGTTCATACTCTGTATGCTCCACCCCCCCCCCAAAAAAAAAGAGAGATTAAAGGCGGGTTTTGCTGTTCATGTGACAGGATAATATGTTAGTCCCTTTTACTGCTTTTATTTGGTTAAAGATGACTAGAATCTTTAAAGATAATGATAGAGATAAATTTAGCTTTATCATAAAGAATTGGTGGGATAATTGTAATAATTTTAGCTCATGTTTTTCTTTTTGCATCTCCAATATATTGTGGTATGGCCTTATCCACTGAAACAAAGACTGGTAAAAATCAGAACTTTAGTCTTTTTTTTTCTCTCCAATTTATCACTAGTTGCTTCAAATTTGACCATATAATTCTTTTTCTCCATTTTTCCTGGATTCTCCCCAGCCGCCTTTTCTCCTTCTGGCCATTCTCCACTTTAGTTTTGTAAAAATTAGAAGAGTTGCTATGTGTTCCCTTCATGGAATTAACCATTGAGTTGACTTGGGATTTTTTTGTTGATGTTTTGTTTGTTTTTTATTATAATAATGGCTTTCTGTTACTCCCAGTCTGGCCTTATATATAAATTGTTTTAGTAAGATGCTGATATTTTGGCTACCTATCAGGCTATTGCTTCCATTTGCTTGTTCTTCAAGATAAGCATAATTAATACCTTGACTTCTCTTTGTGTTCCAGCCTGAAAGAATAGACCCAAGTGCATCACGACAAGGATATGATGTCCGCTCTGATGTCTGGAGTTTGGGGATCACATTGGTATGTTTATGTTGAGTCAACTGTGTCTTGGTACTGTGCCAATAAGATATTTAGAAGTGAAAGACACTGAGAAAGAATAGTGAGAAAGTTACTAATTTGCAAAAATCAAGCACAAACAAAATAAACTTTTCTTCCTTACATATGGTCTGTATTGAAATTTTGGTTCCATTAAAAAAGAGTCTGTTTCAGTTTGACTGTTTCAACAAAATATCATAAACTCAGTAACTTATCCAGAACAGAAATTTAAGGCTGAGGATGATGCTTAATCATAGAGTGCTTGCCTATCACACACAAAGCCTTGACTGGGTTCAATCCCCAGCACTGAAAAAGAAAGAAAGAAAGAAACACAACCCCCAGATTTATTTCTTACAGTTGTGGAAACTGGGAAGTCAAGGCACTGACAAGTAATTTTATGTAGTGAGCTGCTTTTTGGTTTCTAGAAGGATGTCTTCTTGCTTGTGTCCTCAAATGGCAGAAGGGGCAAGGGACCAGTGTAGGTCTGTCTTATAAGAGCACTAATGCTATTTCTGAGGGCTTCACTCTGATCACCAAACACTTCCCCAAAGCCCCACCTCTTAATATCATCACCTTTGGGATTAGGTTTCAACTCTAAATTTTAAGGGGATACAGTCTATAGCAATGTCTTTATGTGCTTATTTCCTTTTTCAAATTTTTTTTTCTTGTGTTTGCTGTTCTACTGCGGCTTGCTGTGATTTTTCTTTTCCTTCTTCAGATTTTTAGATAGCTTTTATATCTTTTTTCATGTTTTTTGTAAATTTTCTGCCCCTGGTGGAGCTGTCCTGTGAGATATACAGCCTAAACCTCTTCCTTCTTTTTTCCTCTCATTTTCACTTTGAGTTAGCTAAGACTCTATAGTGCAGGCATAGAGCAATGAGCTTTTTTTGCAGCCTGCTAACCTGCATTTATTCATTGGCATTATGTGGTCCAGGCATCTTCTTCCTGCAGTCAAAGTCTCTCATACCCTTGTTAGCTATTTTTGGTGAGTAATGTTGCTAGGCTAGTGACTCTCTGTACAGAGAGTTTAATGGCTCACCTCTGAGTAGGGCTCCATGTACCTGTCCCTTATGATCAAATGTAAGAGATATCTTCTAGAGTCTGTTCTCATTTTAAAGCCAACTGGCTAAAATAAGGGTCTGGCAGCTGGTCCCAAAGACTATAGCAAGACCTGTAGATTGCATCTGAAGCAAATGTTTTTGTATAAAGGAATACTTAGAATTCTAAGTAACTAGAATTCAGAAATATCTCTGTGGCTTATAGTGGTTTGTTTTTTGGCAGTACTAGGATTTGAATTCAGGGCATTGTACTTTCTCTGCCACTTGAGCCATGACCCCAGCTCTTTTTACTTTAGGTATTTTTCACATAGGGTCACGTTTATGCTCAGGCCCGCCTTGGACTGCCATCTTCTTATTTACATTTCCTGAGTAGCTGGGATGATAGGCACACACCATTGTGCTGAACTCTTACTGATTGAGATGGGGTTCTTGATAACTTGCAATCTTCACCTCTCAAAGTAGCTAGGATTACAGGCTATTCCTGACCCTAACTAATTATGTTTTTAAAGGTAAGTGCATATTCCTTACAAAAAACAAAATTTTGTTTTGTGAAAGGTTTGTTTCATTTCATTTCGCTAAGACCTTATGCATGAGAGGCAGGAGCTCTACAACTGGTCTACACCCCAAACACATGTAAGGTTTCAACGTAGTAATTTTTAAAACAAGTTCCTATAAGTACCTTTAGTGAAGCCTTGTTCTTTAAAAGCAAGGTATGCAGCATTTACAATTGTTTAATTTATTTTTCATGAGAACAATCTTATAAAAATTGTGAAATATATGAAGTGAATTTCTACATTCCTAAGTCCTTCACTTTGTGATGTGTAGGCTACTTGTTCCTTCTCTTGTTAAAAACTGTTTTCTAGAATGAATCTAAGGAAGTTATTCCCTACTTTATAACCAGTAAGGTTTAACTTTTCAAAACATTTGTAAGTTTAACAAAAAGAAACCTCAGCCAAAGGAATAAATTTGTGTGTGTGTGTGTGTGTGTGTGTGTGTGTGTGTGTGTGTGTGTGTGTGTGTATGTATGCTTTCCTGACCTTCCTGCTTTCCTGAACACACATGTATGAAAATGCAGACAGCAGTGAGCTGACAGAGCTCTTTGGGAAGGAAACTCTGAATTAGTTTTCTGAGATAGTGTCTGTCCTATACAACAGCTTCCTCTGTATTAAGTTTAGAACCTGATCCTTATATATCAGATGTCTGACAAGCATGTTGTAAAATATAATTCATTATCCTATGTAGTATATTTAGATGTATTTCTTAGAAAAACACGATTCCTAGGTTTTCATTATTTTCAGTACAGAGTGGGGAAAAGATGAGAATATGAGTCATTGGTTATTAGCAAATATATTTGACCTTTGACAAGTTGGGACGTATGTACTTAAGATTCTTCAGGAGTATACTGATAGAGTTTTAAAATACTGAGCCCTTTATTAGGGCTCAGAGAAAAATATTTGATTTCTACTTTTTTTTGGTGGGAGTGGGCTGGTACTGGTGTTTGAAATTAGAGCCTTGTACTTGCTAGGCAGGTGCTATATACACTTGAGCCACAGTCCCAGCCTTTTTTGGCTTTAGTTATTTTTCAGATAAGATCTTGTATTTTTGCCTGATTTCAGGCTGCCATCCTCCTACCTGTATCTCATGCATGTCTAAGGTTATAGGTCTGCACCACCACACCTGGCTTGTTGGTTGAGAGGGGTATCTCACTAACTTTTTGCCCAGGCTGGCCTTGAACCACAGTTCTCCCAATCTCTTGACTCTTAGGTAGCTGGGATTATAGGTGTGAACCACCACACTTGGCTTGACTTGATTTCCTTAGTGACAGTAAAATCTGGTTGTGGTTGAAGTTGTAGAACTACAGAATAGTTGTAGAACAGAATTTGCACATTGTTTCCTTCAAACTCAGATTGGACTTTTGTTTTACCTTAAAAAGAAATTAGACCACTATTCTAGACCATGGCCTTCCATTGAGATGAATACAGATTGTGCAGCAAGTCTATATCCTAAAAGTTTTAAACCAAGCCTTCCAGAGTCTCTCATAGAAAGGGAGTCAGAACCCAAGGCCTGCATTGAGGGGACATAGTGTAGGCTTCAGTTTGGTATTTGCATGTAGTTTGAGTTCTTGAGTTTAGTTAATATACAGTTTTCTATGTTATTTTGATTTCTAAATGTAGCCTTCATGATTCTGAGGATTCTACCTCAGCCTGGTCAGTAATCAACTCAGGCTTTAACAAGTTTTGGAGTTTAGGTTGTCATCATGGCCATCCCTGTGAGGAGCAGTAAATAATACCTACCACATTTGCTTTTTCCTTTTTGTTCTCTTTAGTACGAGTTGGCCACTGGCCGATTTCCTTATCCAAAGTGGAATAGTGTATTTGATCAACTAACTCAAGTCGTGAAAGGAGATCCTCCACAGCTGAGTAATTCTGAGGAAAGGGAATTTTCCCCAAGTTTCATCAACTTTGTCAACTTGTGGTGAGTACTGGATTTACCGATGCTGAAACACTTGTGATGAGAACAGTGAGTTGAAGTTGCTTAATCTTAGCTACATTGATGCTTAATACAGGGGAAGGGACTCTTCATCATATTACCCTGCCTTCCCAGCTAGTACTCTGAACCACTGCATCAGTATGGAAGGCTCCAGCTAGCCCAGAGAGCATTATCCTCTTATTCTGTTACTCAGGTATTGGTGAAAAATGGCCATGGGTAGTTGAGAAGCTGCTGCCTCCAGACCTCCAGTACCTTGTACAACAAATACTATTTTAAACCTCTAGGTGAGGCTGGTCATTTTGTTGTAGTGTGGGTCTCACAATGAAATTATACCAGAGTCATCAAATGAAGATGGTCAGATCATACTTTCAGGGGTGGATCTCTACTCTGTTAATAACACAGGGTGCAGTCAGGTATGGGTATATGTAGTAGAGTTCAAGCCCAAAGCTTAATTGGTAGAACTATATATGTTGGCTCTCTAAAACCTTATTCCAAAAAAAAGAGGTGTGAGCTCCATAGCTATTGATGTATCTTGTGTCAGTCTTTCAGAGGGGAAAAGAATCCCTCAACTTCTAGGTAGAAGAAGGCAATGTGAATGACTGAGATTGACTGTTTTTTTTCTTTTTAAAAGCAGTCTCTTGTGTACTAATTTGATATATACTGTTTGTATAATTTTATAAATGTACTAATTCTGTATATTCCATTTTTATGAAAAAGTTGCTTAAAATCATTTATATAAGTCATAGAGTGTAAATCTAAAAATGATCACCTGTGAACCTACACCAGGGTTTTTTTGTTTTCGTTTGTAAATTTGCAGGCTTCTGTATTGATTTTGTTCCACATATGTGTAGTACTTCTGTTTCCCTTGATACCGTAATAGATACCTGTTACAAACATCCATGTTCCATGGTTACTAGTGACTCCAGTCATTCCAAAGCATTAAGGGCTATAGTTGAAGTGCATTTATTCCCATGATGCACTCATATTAGCCCTCCACATTCATCTGTTCTCCCTGCCATTATCCTTGTCTTAAATGTTGTCTATCATTTCTAACCTGGGTCATTCAGATTTCAAATTGATTTCCTTATAATCCAAAGTACCTTGTTCAAACTGTTTTCCTTTCAATTAGAGCTGTATTTATTATGCTGCATATCTGGTCATGTTGCTTCTCTATTCAAAACTATGGCGAACAAGCATTCTTAATAGGATAATGTTGACACTAAGGAAGCAAAAATTGATTTGGAGAGACAGAAAATCATGGATCATACATTGACTTATAGCCCCCCCCCCCCAAAAAAAAAGCTATAGAATGTAAATATATAGATGGTATAGCTGCAGTATTTAAATTTCATGGTTTGAGAGAGACAATAATGAAAAAAAAAGATTGAGGAACTTTCTTGTCTTGAAAATAGTTAAAGATAATGTAACTTTCAAAGCCCATTATGAGGTGGACTTGGTTTATTGGTCTGGTCACATTTCTCACTGTTCCATTGGAAAATGTTCTGCTGAACTGAATTCTCTTCAGTGTATAAATTAAAGACATCTAGAGGATATGGGAAAATATTTTTATTACCTTTGGATAAGATTTGTTAAACCACACAGAGAGCAACTGAGCATAAGAGTGATTGTAAGATTGATTTCATTGAAATTAAGAACTCCTATTGATTAAAAGCACTAAATGAAATGCCAAACTATTTAAGAGGATAGGTTTCTTATAGATATTTGTCATGGGACTGTTACACAGAGTGCATAAATAGTATTTATAAAACACTTAAATATGAAAATGATGACCAAAAATGGCAAAATAATTAGAAGGCACTTAAAAAGATATTCAATAGATCAGTAAACATATTAAAGAATACTTTTACAGCATTATTAGTCATCAATGAAAGGTAAGTCACAACTGCAATGAAATACCAATAAAATCCTCCTAGTCACAACTTAAAAGACCAGCAGTTCCAAGTGTTGGTGAGGATCTGAAGAACTTGGGAATGTAGTTTAATACAGTGCCTTTGGAAAACTGGCATTACCTAATGTAACCAATGTGTACCCTATGAGCCAGCAGTGTGAGTTCCAATTATACATACACCCAACAAAGCAAGAGCATCACTGTTCCAAAGACCCTGTGAGAATGTTCAGAAAAGCACACTTGGCTCATAATAGTCTATAGTCAGAAAATGTATCAACAGTAGGACAGATAGATTACATATTATACCTTGATATATAACTTCAAAAAGATTAAACCTTGCTTATACTTAACCAGCAAAAATCTCACAAGTCATATTGAATGCAAACAGTAAGACATAAAAGAGTGTGGTTCTATTTATGTGGAAGGTAAACACAATAATGAGGTAAGGGAAGTCAGGAAATTGTATCTTTCATTTTAGCTCTACACTTAGGAATTATATTCATTGCTGTGTGTTTCTTCACTTAGAAACTTGTGGAAGGGAAAAATAGGGATGAAGATAATGGTTCCTCTGCAGACTTCAGCTCACATTTTAAGCTCTTCCCCACATTAACTTCCTTTTGAAATCATCCATGGAATTTTTCTTGCTTTTGATTTTTGTTGGTACCATGTTTTGAACTCAGGGCCTCTTGCTTGCTAGGCAGGTGCTTTACTACTTGAGCTAAGCCCTTGGCCTGCTCTTGAAATTTTGAAGAAGGCAGGAGGTATTTTTATTTGTCCTGGGAAAGAACCACCAAAAGGATAGCCTTAAGAAATTTTTGTGAAACTGTGTAGATGAGAGTGGATTTAGGGAGGGAATAACTATTCCAGAATTCATCATATAACAGGGGAAGGGAAGTGGGAAAAAAACAAACAGAGGAGGATATAGGCCTGTAAACAATTCCCTAACTTGGTACAGCAGAACCTAGAAGAAAAGGCAGTTTGTGGGATAGACAAATAAAAAGTAAATCTGAAACCTAAAAATGTCTTAAGGAAATGTTTATATGCTAGCTCCCACTTTCAGCTGAGATTCTGTGTCAGTGAAGGTCAAATTATCTGTTACTCAAATGCTTGAAATGTTTCAGATTTTTTCAGATTTTGAAATATTTGCATATATGCAATGAGATATCTTGGGCATAGGACCTAGGTCTGAAGAAGAAATTTGTTTCATATGTATTTTGTACACATAGCTTGAAGGTAATTTTACATGATACATTTAATAATTTTGTGCATGAAACAAAGTTTCGTGGTGTGAAATTTTCCACTTGTAATGGAATGTCAACTCTCAAAAAGTTTTGAGTTTTCAGGGGACTGGAGGTATGGCTCAAGTGGTAGAGTGCCTGCTTTGCAAGCACAAAGCCCTGAGTTCAAACCCTAGTTCTGCCAAAAATATTAAAAAGTGTTGGGTTTTCAAATATTTCAGATTTTCGGACTAGGGATGCTCATCCTGTATTCACCCCTGCCTTCCACCTGACAGGAGGAACCCATAAAGAACTCAAGCTTTGCTGAAATACGGAAACTTGTGTTGGTTCAAGGATGGTAACATAGTACAAAGCTGTTATAACAGACCCAGAAAATAAGTTCCTTAGCGAGGTGATAATGCTGTAGTGATAGTCTCTCATATTCACCAGGAACTATACCTGAAAGCAACTTGTGATGTTTGATAAGCCCTGATGTCCTAAAAGAGAAGAAGAAATAAGGTCACTGACAAATGAAAATACTCAGTGGCTAAGAGAATTGTACCACAATGGAAAATTTGAGCAAGTATTTTCTTGTGAAATTGTCACTGAAAAGAATTAGGGAAAACATTACGAGCAGGGAATACTTTGAATTCGGGAAGTTTTCAAATGGTAAACATGATTTCTGAGTCAAATGGAGGAAATAATGGTGCACAGCATATTCGGAATTGCAAGTTAAATCTGTGAAGTAGGAAACACCCTTCAGTTAATCTTCCAGATGCTAGGAATAAAAAAGTGAACAGAGGTAATTAAGAGATACAGAAGAAAAATCCTAGAGATTCAATATTACTGATAGTAGAGACGGAACTAAAATAAAATTTCCTTTGATTTGGAGAAGTTGACCTTAAAATACCAGATCAATTAACCAGCAGTATGGAATCACGTGTAGGTATATTGTGAGAAAAGGTAACTAAGACTGGACTGGACAAGCTTTCAGTTAAAATGTGCACATAAAGTCAAGCACCAGTGTCTCACGCCTGCAATCCTAACTACTCAGGAGGCAGCAATCAGGAGGATTGTGGCTCAAAACCAGCCCAGGCAGATAGTTCACGAGACTCTATCTTGAAAAACCCCATTACAAAAATGGACTGGTGGAGTGGCTCAATGTAGAAGCCCTGAGTTCAAGCCTCAGTACTGCAAAAAAACAAAAAGTGTGCATATACATGTACAGTAGTGTAGAAAAGCCTGAAGTCAGAGCAGTACCTGAAGAATAGACAAACAGTTCCAGAAAGATGTATGTGGCCACTTCATATTATTTTAGTGGATTAGGTATTCTGCACAATACTTCCCATGATACTGAGTAAGCATTTTTAAAATGTCAACCTAAGATTAAAGAATTCCCAAAGATAAGTGGAACACTGGAGGGCTCAGACCTGCAATCCTGGCTAACTGGGAACTGGAGATTAGGAGGATTCTGGTTCCAGGCCACCCTGGGCAAAAAAAGTCCATGAGAACCCATCTCAACTGGAAAACACTAGGCGTGCCTGTTATGCTAGCTACAGTGAGAAGCTTTAAATAGGATTGTGGTCCAGACTAGCCTGAGCAAAAAGTGAGACCTTATCTCCAAAATAATAAGCAAAAGGGCTGAAAGTGTGGATCAAATGGTAGAGCACCAGCCTCACAAGTGCAAAACCCTGGGTTCTATTCCCTGGTACTATAAAAAAAAAAAAGTCTCCAAGATAAAGTTAAATGAAGTATGAGCACTCTACAAAAATTGTCAGTACACACAAAAGAATGAAGAGTAGTAGAAATAATTGATCACTGGAATAGATTTGCAAAGATATCAAATATTACAATGATCAGAAACAGGAAGATGTGTGTCAGAGTAATTGAACTACAATGCATTCTCAGTGAAGACCACACTCAACTACTTGGAAAGCTATGAAGTTGGAATGACAGACTGTGTTACCAGTATTAGCTTTGATAGAACAAATGAATTTAATTCAAGTGGAAGGGGAATAGGGATTAAGATACAGGCCAAACAGAATGAAAATGATCCAGGTAACTTTAATGTACAAAGTAAAATTCAAGGGGAAGGTATCAGCAGGGTGAGATTTTTATATTGATACAATCTTTAGTAAAATAGCAGTATGTTGAATATTTGAACCAAAAAACATAGCTATGAAATATGATATAGAGTTCAAAACTTTTAAAAACCCAAGGACAAATTGATTACTAGATTGCTGATTTCTCTTTATGTCTATTAAAAATACATGTATATGTACTTGTGTGTATGTATATGTGCATATACATTTGTTTAAAATGTGTACATACACAAACTGTATTCTATTTGCAGCTATGCTATGATTGAGTCAGTTCTCAACATTTAACTTTTTTTCTAATTTTTCACTAACGATCCTGTACTGAATAGCCTATGTATAAATCCTCAGTATAGGTTGTCTGATTTTGTGTGTGCACACTTTTCTATGTTTAACAGGGTCTGTTTTGTTACTTGGGGTCTGAAGGAAAACTATTTGGTTCTTTGTAATATTTCATTTGTGGAAAGAAAAATACCTGGGTGAATGTGTCTTCATTTTAATACTGTCGTTTTTATGTTATTTCAGCCTTACAAAGGATGAATCCAAAAGGCCAAAGTATAAAGAGCTTCTGGTGAGTATGAGACTTTAGAAACTTCAGATAACATCTCTACCCCAAATCCTCTTACCAAGCTGGTTCACAAAGTGAGCACTGAGACTCTGTCAAACAGCTTGACCTCATCAAATGGTTTTAAACATTTTAAACAAAGGTATTTTCAAAGAGAAAATCTGTAGCTATAATTTTCTGCTAATTTATTAGCTATATTCTCATGAGATTTTTGGTCTTAACATGTTATAAAATTAACTCCCAAGGAATTCCAACTTTCACTTAAGGAGCCATTTACTATTGTATAATCCTATGTATATGTAACTTATCCATAAGAAAAAGTAGAAGTTTTATTCAGTGAACTTATACTGCTTTTTTTAAAAGCTCATGTACAAATTTACATCACATAGCCAGTTTCCATTCCTTTGAAAGTTCTCATTCATCCATGCAACTTGAATGTCTTATGTTAGGTGTGCCATTGCTCTAGGCAGAGAAGAAATTACTTTGATCCAATGATGTGGAATATTTTAATAAAAAATTTACTTGTCACATTTAGCTTTTTGTTCTCCAAGGAAGTTAAGTCAAACTTAGGATCAATCCAGCAATGATTGTAAAGGTACCCAGCTGAAGAGAAACATGTTAATAGTGATAGAACACAAAAAGATAGGTTGGTGAAGCAGATACTAGACTAGGCTCTGAAGAGTGCAGGTCAGAAGTTCATAGGGCAAGCCTCTGCTGGACCTCTTTTGGAAAGGAGTTTGGAAGGATTAAAACCAAAAACATTTTTGTAACATCCTTCTGGTACCTATGGGAGAAGTGAAGGATTGGGATTTATGCCATCCTGATAGCATAAGATAGCAACTGGTATTCATGTAGTTCTTTTTGGCTCTCAGATGGTGTGGTAGAGGCTCCAGCTATGTTTTGTGCTGAGGAACAAACAACTCTGCTCACTGCCTCAACAAATACTCTCTGATATACAGATAAGTCCCAGACTTCACTGCCAGGGTGGCATCTCCAGATCATAACACAATGTATCATATGTAGGCACACTATACCCACTAACATATCTGCATGAAATAAAGGCTATATTTGCCTCTGCAGTGATACCCTACAGCCATATGTGGTTGGGAGCCTGCACTTACATGTTGTGTGGCAACTGAGAAAAGTTCAGCCTGGACTCTGATACAGACTTTTGCTGTTTTCTTTTTGTTTTTTCAATTCTTTTGCAGAAACATCCCTTTATTTTGATGTATGAAGAACGTACCGTCGAGGTCGCATGCTATGTTTGTAAAATCCTGGATCAAATGCCAGCTACTCCCAGCTCTCCCATGTATGTCGATTGATAACGCTGCTACATCAGACTCTAGGAAAAAGGGCTGAGAGGAAGCGAGACGTAAAGAATTTTCATCCCGTATCACAGTGTTTTTATTGCTCGCCCAGACACCATGTGCAATAAGATTGGTGTTCGTTTCCATCATGTCTGTATACTTCTGTCACCTAGAACGTGCATCCCTGTAATATCTGATTGATCACACAGTGTTAGTGCTGGTCAGAGAGACCTCATCCTGCTCTTTCGTGATGAACATATTCATAACATGTGGAAGTCAGTACGATCAAGTTGTTGACTGTGATTAGATCACATCTTAAATTCATTCCTAGACTTGAAACCTGGAGACGCAGCTACTGGAATGGTGTTTTGTCAGACTTCCAAATCCTGGAAGGACGCAGTGATGGATGTACTGTCTGAAAATAGAGACTCGGGCTTGAGTGAGAAGAGCTTGCACAGACAGCGAGACACATTGCCTTCTGGAGCTGGGAGACAAAGGAGGAATTTACTTTCTTCACCAAGTGCAATAGATTTACTGATTTGATATTCTGTTGCTTTACAGTCACAGTCGATGTTTGGGGATCGATGTGCTCAGCCAAATTTCCTGTTTGAGATATCATGTTAAATTAGAATGAATTTATCTTTACCAAAAACCATGTTGTGTTCAAAGAGTTGAACATTAAAATACTGAGACAGGACAGAATGTGTTATTTTCTCCTTTACCAGTCCTTCTGCTCTTCGTTGGGAAGACTCAGGAGTCTGCCACTTGTCAAAGAAGGTGCTGATCCTAAGAATTTTCATTCTCAGAATTTGGTGTGCTGCCAACTTGATGTTCCACCTGTCACAAACCACCAGGACTGAAAGAAGAAAAAAGTGCAGAGGGCAAAGTTTACAGATGTTTTTAATTCTAGTATCCGGAATAACTTGTAGTAGCTATATATTTCCCCTTGGTCCCAAGTCTGATACTTTAGCCATCATAACTCACTAACAGGGAGAAGTAGACAGTAGCAATGTGCCTTGATTGATTAAAGATTTCTTATAGGCAGCAAATGACCAAATCTCAGTTGTTTGCTTCTTGCCATCATTGGTCCAGGTCTTCAGTTTCTAAATCTTTCCCTTTTCTGTGGTCTATTGCCACAGTATGACTTTTGCTTAATTCAATGTTTTGCCTTTTTTTCTATATCAAAAGCCTCCATAATTACCAGGGATATTCTTTATTGAGACTTTTAGCCCCAAATCCTTATTTTAATATTTAAAAGGCTGAGAAAAACAGGGCCCAGCTGATGTAGTGGTGATGAAGAGGCCGTGTTTTCTAAAGACACATTTGGCCAGAGAGGATCTGAAATGGCAGTCTTTAGATAAGCTCACCACCTGCTTAAATTACCAATTCACCATCATTTCTTAGACTTGGATTTCTAACCCCTTCCCCCCCAATAACAGGCAAAACAAAAAACCCAGAATGGTTTAGAAGTAGCTACTTGACATCTTTCCCTCTTTGTCTTTACCTACCTATTCATTAACCAACTTCTCATTAGGTTTTGCTCCAACCTCCCTGGAACTGAACATTAGGCTTTGTATAGCAGTTAAGCAGCACTGTGAGTGGTCCAAGCACACTGGATTGTAAAACAGCCATGGTCTAAAATGCAGGTGATGCCATTACAAAGCCAAATTGTGGCAAGGTATTACTGTGTCTCCTCCCAAAGTGACAGTCAAAAACACTATAAAACAATAAAAGGAGAATGGTGCTGTTTAAAGTTACATCCCTGTAAATTACAAATTCAAAAGTGATTTATTTCTTTGGTCCATTGCCTAATTTCTGTTTTCTCCCCCATGGCATCCTAAACCTTAGACTTCCCAGTGTTGTGAAAGGAGGCGTTGCTATGTCTTCCTTCATCTACACCAAGCCATCATCCTCCATTGTTCCCAGGACTCAAGAGGAATTTGTTTCTCTGCTGTCACCTTCCTGTCTGGCTCAGCATAGGGTCACTTTGCCATTATGCAAATGGAGATAAAAGTAATTCTGGCTGTCCAGGAGCAAATCTGACCATTCTGTTGTGTGGATGACCACATAAAAAGGCAATTTTAGTGTATTAATCATAGATTATTATAAACTATAAACTTAAGGGCAAGGAATTTATTACAATGTATCTTTATTAAAACAAAAGGGTGTATAGTGTTCACAAACTGTGAAAATAGTGTAAGAACTGTACATTGTGAGCTCTGGTTATTTTTCTCTTGTACCATATAAAAGTGTATAAAAATTATCAAAAAGCTAATGTGCAGGGATATTGCCTTATTTGTCTGTAAAAATGGAGCTCAGTAACATAACTGCTTCTTGGAGCTTTGGAATATTTTATCCTGTATTCTTGTTTGAATTCCTCCTCTATTTAAGATATATACATGGAATCGAAGTGTTTATGTAATAGTTCTATCCTTTTGCCTGCAGGTCAGTTGTAATAAATTTAGGATGTGATGATGACTTTGTAATTTGATTTTCTGAAGTCAGACCCTAAGAGGGTAAAGTCAAGTGAATTACATTAAATTATGTATGCATTTCACATTGGGGAAGTAATCTTCTAGAAGTGTTTATGGCTTCTTTCTTTTTCCTCATACCTTCTCATGGCTGAACTTTCTTATCCTTTAAAACTACAGCTATATCTGTGATACACAGCTTTGCTTTCTGTTTGCACAAATGTATCACAGTCTATTCAAGTTTCTTTCTTTGTTGGTTACCCTGATCTGCCCCAGCTTCTTAACGCTAAAGGAAGGGGAGTACAGTCCAGTGTATACCATGGTGGATAGGTACAGCTTGTAAGAACCCATTCTGCCTTGACCCCGTTTATATTGCCATCCATGCTTTCTGTTCCTGATTCTGTGGCTGCCAGGTGAGCATTAGATAGTAGCTTATGTATTAGTTTGTGATTCCTGATAGAGAGGGATAGGGAGGAGATTTGTGGGTAAAAGCTGGGTAGACCTGGGAGGCTTATGGATTACGGGTGGGGTAGGAAGTGTGTGACAGTGGAGGTGAACAAAAAGCCATAGAACCTGGAAACTGATGGAGTGACGCACTTTGCAGCCCTAGCACTGGATTTTTCCATTATACTACCACTAGTCATTGATAAAGTGCTTACTCATTGATCATATAGTAATTTATCACCTTTCCTTTTCCTGTGCCTGCTCCTTACTGTACCTGAGATGCCATTACAGAACCAAATGTATCAGATGTTCTCCAGAGTAGGGTGTGACTACAGGGATCCTAGCCTCAGCTGGTAAGGGGATGTATACCGCAGGGAATTTCTGTATCCTGGTTGAGCACCAACTGTGTGCAAGACAGAGTGGTATGAGAGACTGACTGTGTACTTACATGTTTCATTGGAGGTTACCTTGCATTTGTTCATCTCATTTGGTCCTCAGCACAGCCCACCAAAATAAGGTGGTAATAACTTAAAATAGAATAAAACAAAGTTTAGAGAAATGAGTTGTAGCCCAGAAACAGCTGAGAATCAAATCCACAGCTATAATACAAAAGAAATTAGCATAATAATGTAATGTGGTCATTGCAGGCCTTTGAGTTAGTATTTAAAGGGCCCTTTCATTTATTGTCTTGACAGGAACTGTCTTGACAGAGAAAGGACGCATCAGTCTTGAAAGTACCTTTGGAACACGTGACTATCGACCCTGTCTTGGAAGCCTACCAGCTGTTTTGTGTCTCCATCTGTTGTCTAATTATCCTATTGGAGACTTACTGCCTCAGGCAGGCTGATCGTTTAGTACTGTTATGTATAGGAATGAGTTGTCAATACCTCCCTTTCCTATCTACCTCAAAGAGTTATATTCACGTTACACCTGTAGAAGGACTGTGAAAAACTATAAATTCTACATAGTTCTTCAGCAGAATGCATATATAGGTACAAATTTTGAATGCAGATAAAAATTTGATTTACTATATGTTATGACTATTCAACTGTGACTGTGCTATATGGATTAACTTACTTTTTGGTGGGACTGGGATTTGAACTCAGGGCTTCATGTTTGTACATCAGGCACTCTACTGCTTGAGCCACACCTCCAGTCCATTTTTGCTCTGGTTATTTTGGAGATGGAGCCTCACGAACTATTTGCCTCGGCTGACCTTGAACCATAATCCTCCCAGTCTCATCCTCAGCTAGGATTACAGTTGTGAGCCACTGGCTCCTGGTTTGGATTAACCATTTTAAATAGCAGGACTACATCTTACAATTACAAGATATGAACTCATTTGGCATATTATCAAAAAATGTAGGTATAGTACCAATAATTCTTATGAGTTCAAGACTTGAGAATTTTTGGATGCTCATTTCTGTCCATTTTGTGAATATATCACATATTGCTTATTTATTGGTGAACAACAAATGTAGCTTTGCCATTTGGTTAATATAAATGCTGCTGTGGGTGTTCATATGCATATATCCATGTGGACATATTTTTTAATGTCTCATGAATATTTCTAGTAGTGGACTTGCTGAATCATATATTATCTACCAACTTATTTACAAAGCAGTTGCACCATTTTTTTTATTATCCATATGTGCATACAATGCTTGGGTCATTTCTCCCCCCTGCCCCCACCACCTCCCTTACCACCCACCCTACCCCCTCCCTCTCCCCCCCACCCCTTCGATACCCCACAGAAACTGTTTTGCCCTTATCTCTAATTTTGTTGAAGAGAGAGTATAAGCAATAATAGGAAGGAACAAGGGTTTTTGCTAGTTGAGATAAGGATAGCTATACAGGGAGTTGACTCTCATTAATTTCCTGTGCATGTGTGTTACCTTCTAAGTTAATTCTTCTTGATCTAACCTTTTCTCTAGTTCCTGGTCCCCTTTTACTATTGGCCTCAGTTGCTTTTAAGGTATCTGCTTTAGTTTCTCTGCATTGAGGGCAACAAATGCTAACTAATTTTTTAGGTGTCTTACCTATCCTCGCATCTCCCTTGTGTGCTCTCACTTTTATCTTATGATCAAAGTCCAGTCCCCTTGTTGTGTTTGCCCTTGGTCTAATATCCACATATGAGGGAGAACATATGATATTTGGTCTTTTGGGCCAGGCTAACCTCACTCAGAGTGATGTTCTCCAATTCCATCCATTTACCAGTGAATGATAACATTTCGTTCTTCTTCGTGGCTGCATAAAATTCCATTGTGTATAGATACCACATTTTCTTGATCCATTTGTCAGTAGTGGGGCATCTTGGCTGTTTCCATAACTTGGCTACTGTGAATAGTGCTGTAATAAACATGGGTGTGCAGGTGCCTCTGGAGTAACCTGTGTCACAGTCTTGGGTATATCCCCAAGAGTGGTATTGCTGGATCAAGTGGTAGATCGATGTCCAGCTTTTTAAGTAGCCTCCAAATTTTTTTCCAGAGTGGTTGTACTAGTTTACATTCCCACCAACAGTGTAAGAGGGTTCCTTTTTCCCCGCATCCTCGCCAACACCTGTTGGTGGTGGTGTTGCTCATGATGGCTATTCTAACAGGGGTGAGGTGGAATCTTAGTGTGGTTTTAATTTGCATTTCCTTTATTGCTAGAGATGGTGAGCATTTTTTCATGTGTTTTTTGGTCATCTGAATTTCTTCTTTTGAGAGAGTTCTTTTTAGTTCACTTGCCCATTTCTTTATTGGTTCATTAGTTTTGGGAGAATTTAGTTTTTTAAGTTCCCTATATATTCTGGTTATCAGACCTTTGTCTGATGTGTAGCTGGCAAATATTTTCTCCCACTCTGTGGCTGTTCTCTTCAGTTTAGAGACCATTTCTTTTGATGAACAGAACCTTTTTAGCTTTATGAGGTCCCATTTATCTATGCTATCTCTTAGTTGCTGTGCTGGTGGGGTTTTGTTGAGAAAATTCTTACCTATACCTACTAACTCCAGAGTATTTCTACTCTTTTCTGTATCAACTTTAGAGTTTGTGGTCTGATATTAAGATCCTTGATCCATTTTGAGTTAATATTGGTATAGGGTGATATACATGGATCTAGTTTCAGTTTTTTGCAGACTGCTAACCAGTTTTCCCAGCAGTTTTTGTTGAAGAGGCTGCTATTTCTCCATCATATATTTTTAGTGCCTCTGTCAAAGACAAGTTGGTTATACTTGTGTGGCTTCATAATCTGGGTCCTCTATTCTGTTCCACTGGTCTTCGTGTCTGTTTTTGTGCCAGTACCATGCTGTTTTTATTGTTACTGCTTTGTAATATAGTTTGAAGTCAGGTATTGTGATACCTCCAGCATTGTTCTTTTGACTGAGTATTGTCTTGGCTATTCGTGGCCTCTTGAGTTGCACCATTTTACATTCCAACTAGCAGTATATGATGGTTCTAATTTCTTCACATCCTTCGTTTTCTAAGAGCTTTATAATTTTAGCTCTTATATTTATGCCTTTGACTCATTCTTAGTTAACTTTTTAGCTGGTGTGAGGGAAGAGGTCAACTTCATACTTTTGTATGTGGCTGTCCAGTTGTCTCAGCACCATTGCTGAAAAGACTTTTCTCCTTCATTGAATAGCCTGGTGCCCTTGTTGAAAATTATTTGGTCATAGGTGTACGGGTTTATTTCTGAACCCTCAATTCTATTCAGTTTGTTTTATGTCTGTCCTTGTGCTAGTACCTCGCTGTCTCGATTACCATTGCTTTATAGTAAAATTTGAAATAAGATGTTTGAGACATCCTGCTTAGTTCAAGATTGTTTGGCTATTCTGAACTACTCACAATTCCATGCAGGTTTTAGAAACATTTCAGTGTCTGTCCTATTGTGAGATTCATCCTCAATGGCAAAATATTGCAAGTTTCAGGAAGAAGGCAAGAACACCCACTTTTTCCCAATTTCTATCCAATATGGTGCTGAAAATTATATCTAAAGTTATTCAGGGGAGAAAGCATCCAAACTAGAAAGAAGTAAAACCTCCATTTGCAGATATCTTAAATATAGAAAAATGTACGGATTTTACATAAAAGCTATTAGAACTGATAACTGAATTAAAGTAGTAGGATACAAAAATCATTTGTGTTTCTGCTACCAGCAGAACAGAAAATAAAATAATTCTGTTTATGATCATGTCAAAAGAAGAAAATACTTAGGAATCAATCAAGGAGATGAGAAATGGAAACCATAAATCTTTACTGAAGGAATACATAATAAATGTGAGCACATTCCATGTTCATAGGTTGGGACACTTAATATTAAAATGTCAATGCTACACAAAACAATCTACAGATTCAATGCTAATCCCTACCAAAATTCCAATGGTTTTTTTTTTTTGCAGAAATAGAAAAACCCATCCTAAAACTCATGGTATATGAGGCCGGTCCAGGGCAAAAACATGAGACCACCTGAAAAATAACTAAAACATAAAAGGACTGGGGGTGTGGCTAGAGTAGTAGAGCACCTGTCTAGCAAGTGCCCTGGATTCAAGCCCCAGTACCACTCCCCTAATAAAGCAAAATGGCTTGTTACATTTTAGCATGAAGATAGACCTATGCACCAATGGAATAGAATAGAAAACCCAGAAATAAACTCACATACGTAGT